CAGTCTGTTCACAATCTATGCTCCCAGTCTATTCACAATCTGTGCTCCCAGTCTGTTCACAACCTGTGAGCCCAGTCTGTTCACAATCTATGCTCCCAGTCTGTTCATATTCTATGCACTCATTCTGTTCACAATCTATGCTCCCAGTCTGTTCACAGTCTGTGCTCCCAGTCTGTTCACAATCTGTGCTCACAGTCTGTTCACAATCTGTGCTCACAGTCTGTTCACAATCTGTGCTCCCAGTGTTCACAATCTATGCTCCTAGTCTGTTTACAGTCTGTGCTCCCAATCTGCTCACAGTCTGTGCTCACAGTCTGTTCACAATCTATGCTCCCAGTCTGTTCACAATCTATGCTCCCAGTCTGTTCACAACCTGTGCTCCTAGTCTGTTCACAATCTATGCTCCCAGTCTGTTCACAGTCTGTGCTCCCAGTCTGTTCACAATCTGTACTCACATTCTATTCACAATCTGTGCTTCCATTCTGTTCACAATCTATGCTCTTAGTCTGTTCACAGTCTGTGCTCCCATTCTGTTCACAATCTATGCTTCCAGTCTGTTCACAATCTGTGCTTCCAGTCTGTTCACAACCTATGCTCTCAGTCTGTTCACAACTTGTGCTCCCAATCTGTTCACAATCTGTGCTCCCATTCTGTTCACAATCTATGCTTCCAGTCTGTTCACAGTCCTAGCTCCCAGTTTGTTCACAACCTATGTGCCCAGTCTATTCATAATCTGTGCTCCCATTCTGTTCACAATCTATGCTCCCAGTCTGTTCACAATCTATGCTCCCAGTCTGTTCACAATCTATGCTCCCAGTTTGTTCACAATCTATCCTCCCAGTCTATTCACAATCTGTGCTCCCATTCTGTTCACAATCTATGCTCCCAGTTTGTTCATAATCTGTACTCCTAGTCTGTTCACAATCTATACTCCCAGTCTGTTCACAATCTGTACTCCCATTCTGTTCACAATCTATGCTCCCAGTTTGTTCACAATCTATGCTCCCAGTTTGTTCATAATCTGTACTCCTAGTCTGTTCACAATCTATGCTCCCAGTCTGTTCACAGTCTGTGCTCCCAGTCTATTCACAATCTGTGCTCCCAGTCTGTTCACAATCTATGCTCCTAGTCTGTTCACAATCTATCCTACCAGTCTGTTCACAGTCTGTGCTCCCAGTCTGTTCACAATCCATCCTCTCAGTCTGTTCACAGTCTGTGCTCCCAGTCTTTTGCAGTCTATGTTCACAGTTACTCCACAAGCTATCTTCTCACTTACGTCTTTTGATCATCTTCACACATGCATTCATTAAATGTATTCTGCTCTTTTCCAGTATCTGTTTCTCCTCCTCTATCCTTGTCCCATTCTTTTTCTGTCATTGTTAATTTTTTTTTAATCTGTTTCTGTTCATTTCACGTGTCATTTGTCTTCTCTACAACTTGCAATACTTTTATTGCTTCCAGAAACAAGCTGTCCTCCATTTCTCAGAGCCTGAGTTAACCCTTTCTTTTAGCTGAATATCTTTCATTCTCTGTCCATTCAACTCTATATTCTACATACTGCCAGTCTTGTGCTCTTGCATTTTACTGATGCTATTTTCTCAGTAATGTCACCTCCTTGCATCTGCGTTTCTATCATTAAGGAGGTATGTATGAGAGACTGAGCACTAAATTGTTTGCTTGGTGACGGTTGTGGTCAGGTTTATTTGTCCTGGCTTTAAATTCCTACTCTGAAAGTATTCATTTGTTTCCATATTGTCAGCACTGATTTTCAGAGTTTGTTTGCTGATTAACAAAACATTTTCCCGACTTTCAAGAATGAAAAAATTGTGAATAAGTTTGTTGCTATGTGGTTATGGATAACCGTTTCTCATTTTTGTTCTCCGGGTTTATTAGTTTCTGGTTTCTTTTTTTGTTTTTGGTCAATTTTTTAAAACAATTTTAGTAACCCTAGTTCATGCACATTTTTGTTGAGTATAGATTTGTGTTATTTTTAAATTTAAAAATCGTAGCATTTTTCTCACAATTTTATCTGAATCCATTAGTAGTATTGTGCTTCCTTGCATGTGGTTGCAGCCAAATGTTACACACATATATTCCAATATTCTCTCTATTTACTTCTTCTACCTGTCCTAGCGTTGAATAGTTGCCTGGTTGCAGCCAAATGTTACATACATATATTCCAATATTCTCTCTGTTTACTTCTTCTACCTGTCCTAGTGTTGAACAGTTGCCTGGTTGCAGCCAAATGTTACACACATATATTCCAATATTCTCTCTGTTTACTACTTCTACCTGTCCTAGTGTTGAACAGTTGCCTGGTTGCATAAGTTAATTTATTTAATTGTTATTTGATTGATTCATCTTTGTAGAAACTTGACTCACCTGTGTATGTAGTGTGGTTGACATTTGGTCTGAGGTATTTGCATTTGATTTGGAGAGTGCATTATGAGCTATATGTTCATCCTGATCACATTTTCAGCTGTTGACCTTTAACCTTAGGTTATAATGTTAATGTTTTAATGTTCATGAATTTAGAAAGCCATATTACCTTGATATCAGATTGTTGCATGTTCAGCTTCATCATGTATCATGTTGGTAATTATGTTTCTCCATGAACTTTTGTTTTCTGTTCTAGATCAATGCACTGCAATCATTGGATGTTTTCTGTACTACTTTGCAAACCCATTTCACTTTTTTATTCCCTCAATTCTCCAGTTACAAAATTGTTCTTTATACCTCGTCTTCTCATAAAACAGCCACAACTTGAAGATTACCTTCTCTGTGTATGGTTAATTATTTGTTTTTCTGAATGTCTTCTTTAACACTGGAGTGTTCATTTCTTTATTTGTAGTATCAAACAAAGAAACTGCATCCTTTTGGTCTCCAGCTTCTTTCTGCTCTTGGTATTGAGTGTCCCTCATTCACCTGCGTACACTCACATGAGAAGCATGTCAGACTCCAAGGCTGCTTTGCTATCTTACCTTTTTGACTAGAGGCCTGTTACATTGAACTATCTTCAGCCGATGGAATGTTGTCTTTGCTAGGATTATTATGTATTGTGTTCTCACATCTGTTGTTATTGTGAACCACTGAGAGTTGGTTTGCATATTTGTTTCTATTTGTCTTTTTTTTATCTGTCACAGCATTCTGACTGCCTTTTTTTCTAGATTATTTCCATAATTTTCTTTTTAAACCATTATAGGATAGTCCTTTTACATCCATTTATAAGGAAATAATTAAATTCTAACAATGATCGGGCATTAATTGCTGTTAGCACTGTATCACGGAAGCAGTTGTGGTGAGTCACCTGCATGCTGGGCTACTGATTGTAGGGCTGAATCTCCATCAAGATAGATGTCAACAGTTGTCCTGGACTTCCATGAAGACCCAGCTTTAAAAGTGCTACCAGGAAATGCTCAGAAAAGTAACAGTTGTTGGTGTGATACTGATCACATCACACATCAAGTGCTTTTCGTTTTTCTAAGATGGGGAAAACAAGATAATACATCATAATTCATTGGAGGAGATTCATGGGGAGGTAACCCTCACATACCATGCCTCATGAAAGAATTGCCAGAGTGGTCACAACACCAGAATCAGATTCCTAGACATTGTCTAACTTTTCCGTAGATGGCCATATATGATGTACTATCATGTGTGTATACACTTATATATATATATATATATATATATATATATATATATATATATATCTATATATTATATATAATATATATATATATATATATATATATATATATATCTATAGATATATATATATATATATATATATATATGTAATATATCTATGTGTGTGTGTATATATATATATATATATATATATATCTATATATATATTATATATATATAATATATATATATATATATATATATTATATATATATATATATATATATATATATATATATATATATATATATTTATATATGAGGCGCCCGTGGCTTAGGCGTTGCAAGTCCGACTAGTAATTCCAACGTACCGCGATCAAACCCACTGCAGGCATGAAAAAGGATATATTTATTTATTATTTTTTAATTTTATTGTTAAACAAATGTTTAGTGCCCTGTGTAAAAACTGTTGTTATTCTAGAGTTCTTGGGGTGAAGGAGTTGGACATATTCACTTGTTTGCAAAATACACCTAGAGTTCTTGGGGTGAAGGAGTTGGACATATTCACCTGTTTGCAAAATACATTATTTGTATATTATTGACATGTGACCCATTATTAACATTTGTATGTTCATAATGTATGAGACATCAGTGTTTATGTGAGTGGTGTATGTTGGACATCAGTGTATCTGTGAGTGGTATATGTTGGACTTCAGTGTATATGTGAGTGGTATATGTTGGACATCAGTGTATATGTGAGTGGTATATGTTGGACATCAGTGTATATGTGAGTGGTATTTGTTGGACTTCAGTGTATATGTGAGTGGTATATGTTGGACATCAGTGTATATGTGAGTGGTATTTGTTGGACTTCAGTGTATATGTGAGTGGTATATGTTGGACATCAGTGTATATGTGAGTGGTATATGTTGGACATCAGTGTATATGTGAGTGGTATATGTTGGACATCAGTGTATATGTGAGTGGTATTTGTTGGACATCAGTGTATGTGTGAGTGGTATATGTTGGACTTATTATTTAAAGGTAAAAGTGAGAGGATCGACTTCATTGCACCGGTTTTCTTTTTCCATTTGGCTCAGTCTCTCCCTGCAGAACAAGTAGCTGCCTGCAGAGAGCATCACACAAAGCATGACCTCCATAGCACCAGCAATGATCCATTAAATTTGCACTCGTGAAATGAACCCACGAATTTCAGAGTGCGAGGCAAATGGCTTGACCACTTCTTCACTGAGACCCCCGATTTTATTTATCATTTAATTTTTCAAACGTTTAAAATCTGAAATGAGGAATTTTATGTGTGTGTAATCAAAATTGTTTGCCAGCTTATTGAATTAATTGTGTGTTTCTCAGAGTTCTCTTTCCCTGGTTTTGGAATTGACTGTGCCCGGAGTATGGTGGCCATGCATGATGTATCCTTTTGATCAATTTGAATAGAAACAAAATACTAAATGATTTGGTCTCTTCTGCCATGATCAAATGCAAGTTGTAATTTAGAGCAGAGATGGCCGCTTCCTGTAGGAACAAGAAACTCAGTTTAGGTAAATGTCCGGTGGCATCTTGTACACAGGGGGAAGCTGGATGCTTACAGCAGGATCCCAGTGAAATATCAAGTTTATATAAGTGTAAGGTGTGTGCATGCATGTACACGCCCGTGCTAGAGGAAATGTATATCATGCACATACATATGCACGAAAACACACAAGCCGTCATCTATATGCACGCACTCACGCACACACATTCACCACACACACGCCACACACACCACACACACACTACACACACACACACACCACACACACACACTACACACACACCACACACACACACTACACACACACACACCACACACACACACTACACACACTACACTACACACACACACCACACACACACACACCACACACACACTACACACACACACACACTACACACACACACACCATGCACCACACATGCTACACACACCACACACACACCACACACACTACACACACACACCACACCACACACACCTTACACACACTACACAAACACACCACACACACTCACACTTACACACACTACACACACACACCACCCAACACACTACACACACACACACCTACACACACACTACACACACACACACACACACACCACACACACACACTTACACACACTACACACACACTACACACACACACCACACACACACACACACCACACACTACACCCACACACACACACACACACCACACACCACACACACTACACACACCACACACACACCACACACACCACACACACACCCCACACACACTACACACACCACACACGCACACCACACACCACACACACACCACACACACACTACACACACACCACACACACACCACACACAAACACCACACTACACACACTACACACACTACACACACTACACACACTAACACACACACACACACACACACACACTACACACACACACACACCACACACAAGGTAAGGCTACATTTAAAAAAGGTGTAAATCTCAGCAAACAATGGAGCCTGCAGTGACGAAAGCACCTCAGTGATTTCAGATTTTAATATGTTTAATCATTTCTGTGTTTAAGAAAGAAACAAAGAATGATATTTACTATGCATTAAACCCAAATACTAAAACCATGGGGGATTAAAAATGGTTTCCATTTCTCCTGATCAGACAAAGAAACTAATCCTAGACTAAGATTACATAATATTACCAACCAGTCCACCAGGAAAACCCGAGGTGTCAGAAATATGACATAATCAGGTCATCTTGGCCCTTCTGAACCTGTCAACTCAGGGCAATTAAACTGGATGGGGTGGGGGGGGGGGGGAGTCCAGACTTGATGGCTCCCTTCATACTGGCTTCCCACACCCTTTATTGAAACTGTGTAGAACCAGATGGGATGGACTTTAGAAAGTTTGATCAGTAGGTGGGCAGCAGTCATTAATTGAAGACAACCACAAATAAAACCAACTGTAGTTTGAAGGTACTTCACTGGTCAAACTTAAAGCCAGTCTGTTGACGACCCCATGTGGATATACATTTTTGTAGTGAGAAACTAGACTAATATCTGAGCCATGTTGATCCCAGACAATGTTCTGGATAACCAAGAAAAAAACAAAAGTGGCTCATAGAATCAAGTAGCTGTACTCGAATCCACAAGAGTAGGAAACGGGTAATTAAAATATCAAGCTGAATTCAGTGATAGAATATCAAGATACACAGGTAACCCCTCCGACTTTCTCCTCTACTGGTATTAATTTATAATGAATGCTCCCATCAAGTGATTGACAAATAAGTGAGCTGAGGTAAACTAGTCTGCACAAAGACACTTGAACCTAAGTACACAGTTTACCCAATTAAGTTTTTATAACTTGAAATCAAGTTTATTAGTTCAGTCTAAGCAAAATCAGTTGAATGATACTCATTTACGATGCAGTAATCAAAAGTTATATTAGACATAATAATGTTAATGCAGCAGCCATTGAAATTAATGTGCGTTGAGAGTGGTGACTGTGTTACGATGTAGATATTTCTTACGAATAAAATTACGTAACTTGTATGAAAGGAGAAAATAAACCTCTGACAGATCTCAATTTGAGACTCTGCCTAACTTTTCCCAGCCTTCAGCTTTGCTGCTTCAGCAGGCCGTACACTGTACCATCTACTTGTGATAAGTGCTGACTGGTCCTTGCCTCTGATAGTAACTGGAAAAATCCCATCAATTTGCTAAAAAGACACAGCTAGGATCACTTTCTAGTGCAGCTCTTGGGCGCTAGTATGCTGGCAACAGTCTGAATTGAATTCAAGACTCCTCGCTATATTAAAATTTCCCCTCATCACAGTCAGCAGGGTGGAATTTAGTTTTCTCACTTGTAAGTTTTAGTCTGACTGGCTTTTTGCCCTGTGTCCTACAAATCATATCTTCTTACCCATGAAATTTAGTCCATTCATGCAAATAAAATCTGGCAACACCGGCGGTAGATTCCACTCCCTTTATATTCTTACAATATTGAAATTTTTTTAGAGGGGGGGGGGGGGGGGGGGGGGTGGGGGGGGGGGGGGGGGGGGGGGGGGGGGGGGGGGGGGGGGGGGGGGGGATCTCATGAGGAACAGAAGATTCTTGAGACTGAAAGAGTTTAAAAGTTTGCACATGTTCATCATTAGTTTCAGTTATTTCTTTGTTTGTGTGTATTGTTGTTCTCCTGACTGACATTTCCTTAACTGGGTCATAGGGCGACCTTTCTGGGAAACTAGGCTATGATGAGTTCAAGGACCTTTGGGATGATTTACGACGATGGAAGGTATTTTTGCAACAAACTACACACACAGAAACACAAATAAAGTATAAAACTCACATAGTATTTAAAATTTACACAGAGGCATGAAACTCTCCATGCAGTTTCTTTATTTCTGAGGTCCATACACATTTTTGTTTTAATCATTCAAATGATTAATTATCACATAATGTTTTCACAAATGTGGCTACGTGTACAACATACATTGCTGAGACTGTGTGTACAACATACATTGCTGAGACTGTGTGTAGAACTTACATTGCTGAAACTGTGTGTACAACTTACATTGCTGAGACTGTGTGTACAACGTACATTGCTGAGATTGTGTGTACAAAATACATTGCTGAGATTGTGTGTACAACGTAGATTGCTGAGATTGTGTGTACAACATACATTGCTGTGACTGTGTGTAAGATGTACATTGCTGAGACTATGTGTACACATACAAACACTAAAAGACATTTCCATATTTCTCAGGGCGTGTTCAAGGAGTTTGACAAGGACAAAAGTGGCAACTTGTCATCGTATGAACTCAGAAATGCTCTCAACCATGTCGGTAAGTGTTACAGTCTGTTGTTTTGTCTGGAGGTATCTTCCTACAAGCCTGAAGTTTTGTCTGTAGGCATCTTCCTACAAGCCTGAAGTTTTGTCTGTAGGCATCTTCCTACAAGCCTGAAGTTTTGTCTGTAGGCATCTTCCTACAAGCCTGAAGTTTTGTCTGTAGGCATCTTCATACATGCCTGAAGTTTTATCTGTAGGCATCTTCCTACATGCCTTCTTCTTGCAGTCAATGGAAGAGATTTGGTTCTCTAAGACTGACCAGACTGAACATTTGTCCTAGAATCACCAGGTTGCCACTTGTTGTTGCAGAGATTTTGTAGATGGAGTTCATTTAATCTGATCTTTCCTTACCCACTTTGTGGCCATGAATCAGAACACACAGGTCAAATGTTCACTATTGTCATTGTTCTGACATGTTCGTGGTGAAGGTCGCTCAGTCATGGTTCAGGTCAAGGACACAATACTTCCAGTGAACTGCAGTTGAGCCATGTTTGCACCAGATGATTTCTCACATCTGTTAGTAACTTCACATCATCCCTTCTCAGTTGAGCTATGTTTGCACCAGATGATTTCTCACATCTGTTAGTAACTTCACATCATCCCTTCTCAGTTGAGCCATGTTTGCACCAGATGATTTCTCACATCTGTTAGTAACTTCACATCATCCCTTCTCAGTTGAGCCATGTTTGCACCAGATGATTTCTCACATCTGTTAGTAACTTCACATCATCCCTTCTCAGTTGAGCCATGTTTGCAAAAGATGATTTCTCACATCTGTTAGTAACTTCACATCATCCCTTCTCAGTTGAGCCATGTTTGCACCAGATGATTTCTCACATCTGTTAGTAACTTCACATCATCCCTTCTCAGTTGAGCCATGTTTGCACCAGATGATTTCTCACATCTGTTAGTAACTTCACATCATCCCTTCTCAGTTGAGCCATGTTTGCACCAGATGATTTCTCACATCTGTTAGTAACTTCACATCATCCCTTCTCAGTTGAGCCATGTTTGCACCAGATGATTTCTCACATGTGTTAGTAACTTCACATCAACCCTTCTCAGTTGAGCCATGTTTGCACCAGATGATTTCTCACATCTGTTAGTAACTCCACATCAACCCTTCTCAGTTGAGCCATGTTTGCACCAGATGATTTCTCACATCTGTTAGTAACTCCACATCAACCCTTCTCAGTTGAGCCATGTTTGCACCAGATGATTTCTCACATCTGTTAGTAACTTCACATCATCCCTTCTCAGTTGAGCCATGTTTGCACCAGATGATTTCTCACATGTGTTAGTAACTTCACATCAACCCTTCTCAGTTGAGCCATGTTTGCACCAGATGATTTCTCACATCTGTTAGTAACTCCACATCAACCCTTCTCAGTTGAGCCATGTTTGCACCAGATGATTTCTCACATCTGTTAGTAACTCCACATCAACCCTTCTCAGTTGAGCCATGTTTGCACCAGATGATTTCTCACATCTGTTAGTAACTCCACATCAACCCTTCTCAGGTGAGCCATGTTTGCACCAGATGATTTCTCACATCTGTTAGTAACTCCACATCAACCCTTCTCAGTTGAGCCATGTTTGCACCAGATGATTTCTCACATCTGTTAGTAACTCCACATCATCTCTTCTCATATGAAAAGATTTTATCAATGATGTTTACAGTTAGTTGACAGATCAACCTTACCACACACTGGACTATTCAGTCCATAAGTGCACAGATCCACTCTTCAGTATATCCATCATCATCAAGTAGTCAATGAACCACCAGCTCTGTGTTGTAGTTTTTAATTCTACCTTTGCTTCCTGCATAGCATTATTGTCTACCCCCCACCTTCTTACTTGATGTTCTTGCAATCTGGTCAGAGTTACAGACTCAGTCATTAGTTCCTTCAGGAATGTATAAGCCTGGTCCATTTCTCTTCAGTTTTCCATGCAACCCTGTTTGTAAACCTATAAGTTTCTTCCATTCCTTACACCTGCATGTTTTTGAAAGAGGTGAGGGGTTGAAAGCATCAGAAATAGGCAGTTGTCATGTGATGAGAAAAGGGAAACTAAAACATGTTGTGACCACTGGAGAGATCTGTGGAAAAGAGACAGCAAAAGTGAGATGATTCTTGACAGCCTTATTTTCATGGCACTGAGGAATATCAATACACAAACTGATTCACTCAACTGAAGATCACTGGATGTGGAGGAGCATGATCATCCACATCAGTTGTCACAGCACTTGATGATGATGACAATAATTTGACCTATCATGAAAATATAACTGATTTTTGTCAGCCATGACTTTCTCAGAGACTCCAAGTTTTCTTCACTTACTGATATACTCAGTTATCTTCTGCTGTTGCCAGGTATATTTCATTTATTATTGTTGTGTTACATTATGTTAATTTACATTAGGCTTAGTTTACATTATGTTTAGCTGTGGCGAGGTATTCTTTGGTAAACTATTTCAAACTGCACTTCCTTTATTGAATGTTGCTCGATACAATAAATGTTAGTAGGTAATAAACAGGAGAATGTTCACTACAAGTGGTGATCTCTGTGTTGCAGGGTTTCATGTCAGCAACCGATCGCTGAGGTCCTTGGTCATGCGCTACAGCAACAAGGAAGGACACATTGACTTTGGGGACTTTATTATGTGTGCAGTCAGACTGAAGACTATGCTGAGTAAGTGCTTTCTCTGTTGCAGTAACCAGTTTATGGCTGATTCTGTTTCATGGGGGAGACAAACAATTTTAGTCTACAACCACCTGAGTCAGTCAGTCCATCAATCAGTCAGCAGGGCCTCTAGCGAACATCACTTTCTTCATGACACACCTGAAAGTCTCTCTTTCTCTAGCCAACTCTCCAGCCCTGTGTTCTTTCATAGTTCATCTTCATTATCCCAAATCCACTTTCATAGAGACCGGCTTCTGCCGCACTTACTGGACATTGCAGCCTCCATCACCGTTCTCTACAGACCACCCTGGCACTTGACAAGTCCAGAATACCTCGGCCTTGAGGACAGGATGCTGTTTATGAGCCAGTTCTCCTTGATGTTCAGGTCGTGCAGGATGTCAACGTTTTATTTCTTCTCAGTCTATGGTATTCTAAAAAAAACAACATTATGTAGCATTCCAATTCAAAAGCTGAGATTTTCTTTTTTAAGAAGCTGAGTCTATGACTCACATCCATAAATTGTCAGGGAAAGACGGTCTCAGAACTGTGACTATAACTTGCTGGCACATGCTATTCCTCAGCCAATCAATAAGAAGCAAATGAAAACTAATGCTGCCACTTGTAAATTATTTTGGTAGTTTTGGAACCCTAGGGAGCTGTGGTGTCGGTAGACAGGCAAGGAGGTGTCGGTAGACAGGCAAGGAGGTGTCGGTAGACAGGTATAGAGGTGTCAGTAGACAGGTAGAGATGTGTCGGTAGACAGGCAGATATGTGTCAGTAGACAGGTAGAGAGGTGTCAGTAGACAGGCAGATATGTGTCAGTAGACAGACAGAGAGGTGTCAGTAGACAGGCAGATATGTGTCAGTAGACAGACAGAGAGGTGTCAGTAGACAGACAGAGAGGTGTCAGTAGACAGACAGATATGTGTCAGTAGACAGGCAGATATGTGTCAGTAGACAGGCAGATATGTGTCAGTAGACAGACAGAGAAGTGTCAGTAGACAGGCAGAGAAGTGTCAGTAGACAGGCAGAGAGGTGTCAGTAGACAGGCAGAGAAGTGTCAGTAGACAGACAGAGAGGTGTCAGTAGACAGGCAGAGAGGTGTCAGTAGACAGGCAGAGAGGTGTCAGTAGACAGACAGAGAGGTGTCAGTAGACAGGCAGAGAGGTGTCAGTAGACAGGCAGAGAGGTGTCAGTAGACAGGCAGAGAAGTGTCAGTAGACAGGCAGAGAAGTGTCAGTAGACAGGCAGAGAAGTGTCAGTAGACAGGCAGAGAAGTGTCAGTAGACAGGCAGAGAAGTGTCAGTAGACAGGCAGAGAGGTGTCAGTAGACAGGCAGAGAGGTGTCAGTAGACAGGCAGAGAAGTGTCAGTAGACAGACAGAGAGGTGTCAGTAGACAGGCAGAGAAGTGTCAGTAGACAGACAGAGAGGTGTCAGTAGACAGGCAGATATGTGTCAGTAGACAGGTAGAGAGGTGTCAGTAGACAGGCAGATATGTGTCAGTAGACAGACAGATATGTGTCAGTAGACAGGCAGATATGTGTCAGTAGACAGGCAGATATGTGTCAGTAGACAGACAGAGAGGTGTCAGTAGACAGGCAGATATGTGTCAGTAGACAGGCAGATATGTGTCAGTAGACAGACAGAGAGGTGTCAGTAGACAGACAGATATGTGTCAGTAGACAGACAGATATGTGTCAGTAGACAGGCAGATATGTGTCAGTAGACAGACAGAGAGGTGTCAGTAGACAGGCAGATATGTGTCAGTAGACAGGCAGATATGTGTCAGTAGACAGACAGAGAGGTGTCAGTAGACAGACAGAGAGGTGTCAGTAGACAGACAGATATGTGTCAGTAGACAGACAGAGAGGTGTCAGTAGACAGACAGATATGTGTCAGTAGACAGACAGATATGTGTCAGTAGACAGGCAGATATGTGTCAGTAGACAGACAGAGAGGTGTCAGTAGACAGACAGAGAGGTGTCAGTAGACAGACAGATATGTGTCAGTAGACAGACAGATATGTGTCAGTAGACAGACAGATATGTGTCAGTAGACAGACAGAGAGGTGTCAGTAGACAGACAGATATGTGTCAGTAGACAGACAGAGAGGTGTCAGTAGACAGACAGATATGTGTCAGTAGACAGACAGAGAGGTGTCAGTAGACAGGCAGATATGTGTCAGTAGACAGACAGATATGTGTCAGTAGACAGGCAGAGAGGTTTCGGTAGACAGACAGATATGTGTCAGTAGACAGACAGAGAGGTGTCAGTAGACAGACAGATATGTGTCAGTAGACAGACAGAGAGGTGTCAGTAGACAGACAGAGAGGTGTCAGTAGACAGACAGAGAGGTGTCAGTAGACAGACAGAGAGGTGTCAGTAGACAGACAGATATGTGTCAGTAGACAGGCAGAGAGGTGTCGGTAGACAGACAGATATGTGTCAGTAGACAGGCAGAGAGGTGTCAGTAGACAGACAGATATGTGTCAGTAGACAGACAGAGAGGTGTCAGTAGACAGGCAGATATGTGTCAGTAGACAGACAGAGAGGTGTCAGTAGACAGACAGAGAGGTGTCGGTAGACAGACAGAGAGGTGTCGGTAGACAGACAGATATGTGTCAGTAGACAGGTAGAGAGGTGTCAGTAGACAGGCAGAGAGGTGTCAGTAGACAGGCAGAGAGGTGTCAGTAGACAGACAGAGAGGTGTCAGTAGACAGGCAGATATGTGTCAGTAGACAGACAGAGAGGTGTCAGTAGACAGGCAGATATGTGTCAGTAGACAGACAGAGAGGTGTCAGTAGACAGGCAGATATGTGTCAGTAGACAGGCAGAGAGGTGTCAGTAGACAGGCAGATATGTGTCAGTAGACAGACAGATATGTGTCAGTAGACAGGTAGAGAGGTGTCAGTAGACAGGCAGATATGTGTCAGTAGACAGACAGATATGTGTCAGTAGACAGGCAGATATGTGTCAGTAGACAGGCAGATATGTGTCAGTAGACAGACAGAGAGGTGTCAGTAGACAGGCAGATATGTGTCAGTAGACAGGTAGAGAGGTGTCAGTAGACAGGCAGATATGTGTCAGTAGACAGGTAGAGAGGTGTCAGTAGACAGGCAGATATGTGTCAGTAGACAGGCAGATATGTGTCAGTAGACAGACAGATATGTGTCAGTAGACAGACAGAGAGGTGTCAGTAGACAGACAGATATGTGTCAGTAGACAGGTAGAGAGGTGTCAGTAGACAGGCAGAGAAGTGTCAGTAGACAGACAGAGAGGTGTCAGTAGACAGACAGATATGTGTCAGTAGACAGGTAGAGAGGTGTCAGTAGACAGACAGAGAAGTGTCAGTAGACAGACAGAGAGGTGTCAGTAGACAGACAGATATGTGTCAGTAGACAGGTAGAGAGGTGTCAGTAGACAGGCAGAGAGGTGTCAGTAGACAGGCAGATATGTGTCAGTAGACAGACAGAGAGGTGTCGGTAGACAGACAGATATGTGTCAGTAGACAGGTAGAGAGGTGTCAGTAGACAGACAGAGAGGTGTCAGTAGACAGACAGATATGTGTCAGTAGACAGGTAGAGAAGTGTCAGTAGACAGACAGAGAGGTGTCAGTAGACAGGCAGAGAAGTGTCAGTAGACAGGTAGAGAGGTGTCAGTAGACAGACAGAGAGGTGTCGGTAGACAGGCAGATATGTGTCAGTAGACAGGTAGAGAGGTGTCAGTAGACAGACAGAGAGGTGTCGGTAGACAGGCAGATATGTGTCAGTAGACAGGTAGAGAGGTGTCAGTAGACAGACAGAGAGGTGTCGGTAGACAGGCAGATATGTGTCAGTAGACAGGTAGAGAGGTGTCAGTAGACAGGCAGATATGTGTCAGTAGACAGACAGAGAGGTGTCAGTAGACAGGTAGAGAGGTGTCAGTAGACAGGCAGATATGTGTCGGTAGACAGACAGAGAGGTGTCAGTAGACAGACAGAGAGGTGTCGGTAGACAGGCAGATATGTGTCAGTAGACAGACAGAGAGGTGTCGGTAGACAGACAGAGAGGTGTCGGTAGACAGACAGAGAGGTGTCGGTAGACAGACAGATATGTGTCGGTAGACAGGTAGAGAGGTGTCAGTAGACAGGCCGATATGTGTCAGTAGACAGACAGAGAGGTGTCAGTAGACAGACAGAGAGGTGTCGGTAGACAGACAGAGAGGTGTCGGTAGACAGACAGATATGTGTCGGTAGACAGGCAGATATGTGTTAGTAGACAGACAGAGAGGTGTCAGTAGACAGACAGAGAGGTGTCGGTAGACAGGCAGATATGTGTCAGTAGACAGGCAGATATGTGTCAGTAGACAGGCAGAGAGGTGTCAGTAGTCAGACAGAGAGGTGTCAGTAGACAGACAGAGAGGTGTCAGTAGAAAGACAGAGAGGTGTCGGTAGACAGGCAGAGAGGTGTCGGTAGACAGGCAGAGAGGTGTCAGTAGACAGGCAGAGAGGTGTCAGTAGACAGGCAGAGAGGTGTCAGTAGACAGGCAGAGAGGTGTCGGTAGACAGGCAGAGAGGTGTCGGTAGACAGGCAGAGAGGTGTCGGTAGACAGGCAGAGAGGTGTCCGTAGACAGGCAGAGAGGTGTCGGTAGACAGGCAGAGAGGTGTCGGTAGACAGGCAAGGAGGTGTCGGTAGACAGGGAAGGAAGTGTCAGTAGACAGGGAAGGAAGTGTCAGTAGACAGGGAAGGAGGTGTCGGTAGACAGGGAAGGAGGTGTGGGTAGACAGGGAAGGAGGTGTGGGTAGACAGGGAAGGAGGTGTCGGTAGACAGGCAAGGAGGTGTCGGTAGACAGGGAAGGAGGTGTCGGTAGACAGGGAAGGAGGTGTCGGTAGACAGGGAAGGAAGTGTCGGTAGACAGGGAAGGAAGTGTCAGTAGACAGGGAAGGAGGTGTCGGTAGACAGGGAAGGAGGTGTGGGTAGACAGGGAAGGAGGTGTGGGTAGACAGGCAAGGAGGTGTCGGTAGACAGGCAGAGAGGTGTCGGTAGACAGGGAAGGAGGTGTCGGTAGACAGGGAAGGAGGTGTCGGTAGACAGGCAAAGAGGTGTTGGTAGACAGGTGGAGAGGTGTCGGTAGACAGGGAAGGAGGTGTCGGTAGACAGGTAAAGAGGTGTCGGTAGACAGGGAAGGAGGTGTCGGTAGACAGGCAAAGAGGTGTCGGTAGACAGGCAAAGAGGTGTCGGTAGACAGGGAAGGAGGTGTCGGTAGACAGGCAAAGAGGTGTTGGTAGACAGGCAGAGAGGTGTTGGTAGACAGGGAAGGAAGTGTTGGTAGACAGGGAAGGAGGTGTCGGTAGACAGGCAAGGAGGTGTCAGTAGACAGGGAAGGAGGTGTCAGTAGACAGGGAAGGAGGTGTCAGTAGATAGGGAAGGAGGTGTCGGTAGATAGGGAAGGAGGTGTCGGTAGACAGGCAGAGAGGTGTCGGTAGACAGGGAAGGAGGTGTCGGTAGACAGGCAAAGAGGTGTCGGTAGACAGGGAAGGAGGTGTCGGTAGACTGGAAAGGAGGTGTCGGTAGACAGGGAAGGAGGTGTCGGTAGACAGGGAAGGAGGTGTCGGTAGACAGGCAAAGAGGTGTCGGTAGACAGGCAGAGAGGTGTTGGTAGACAGGCAAAGAGGTGTCGGTAGACAGGGAAGGAGGTGTCGGTAGACAGGGAAGGAAGTGTCAGTAGACAGGCAAAGAGGTGTCGGTAGACAGGAAAGGAGGTGTCGGTAGACACGTGGAGAGGTGTCGGTAGACAGGCAGAGAGGTGTCGGTAGACAGGCAGAGAGGTGTCAGTAGACAGGCAGAGAGGTGTTGGTAGACAGGCAAAGAGGTGTCGGTAGACAGGGAAGGAGGTGTCGGTAGACAGGGAAGGAAGTGTCAGTAGACAGGCAAAGATGTGTCGGTAGACAGGAAAGGAGGTGTCGGTAGACAGGCAGAGAGGTGTCGGTAGACAGGCAGAGAGGTGTCGGTAGACAGGTGGAGAGGTGTCGGTAGACAGGCAGAGAGGTGTCGGTAGACAGGCGGAGAGGTGTTGGTAGACATGCAGAGAGGTGTCGGTAGACAGGCGGAGAGGTGTCGGTAGACAGGTGTTGACCAGTAGGATCCCCGACCCTGGTACACTATCACGTGTAGTTCAGCACATGTGCGTCCTAGACTTGTATCACTGATCTGGGCTGCCAAGGGGACCTAGCCTAAAATCATAGTCATAGTATAAGGAACTGTTCTGGAAAGTCAAGTCAGCCATCATGTTGTTATGATGTTGACCCCTGAGTGCCAGGCGACCTATACAAATATGGGTTTAGCATCACATGTTTGATGCCTGATTGGCATGGAGAGAGTCCTTGACAGTGTCAGGTTGTGGAGCCCATTATTAAAGTTTTTACCTGATTGTCATTGTTTATCTGCTTCTCCTGTGTAGAAGTATACTTTTGCTCTTCTTCTTTTTTTCTACTCCTGGAACGCCTCACAGCGTCAGGGCAGGAAGAGATCTTTGGAACAGGCCCTTCTGTTCACTTTGTATATACTTTTGCTGTATGTAGAACAATCCTGACATCTTCAGGCCCAAGACTCCTATGCTCTACACCTTGTATATACGTTTGCTGTATGTAGAACAATCCTGACATCTTCAGGCCCAAGACTTCCATGCTCTACACCTTGTATATACGTTTGCTGTGTGTAGAACAATCCTGACATCTTTAGGCCCAAGACTTTGAGGCTCTACACCTTGTATATACGTTTGCTGTATGTAGAACAATCCTGACATCTTCAGGCCCAAGACTCCTATGCTCTACACCTTGTATATACGTTTGCTGTATGTAGAACAATCCTGACATCTTCAGGCCCAAGACTTCCATGCTCTACACCTTGTATATACGTTTGCTGTATGTAGAACAATCCTGACATCTTCAGGCCCAAGACTCCCATGCTCTACACCTTGTATATACTATTGCTGTATGTAGAACAATCCTGACATCTTCAGGCCCAAGACTCCCATGCTCTACACCTTGTATATACGTTTGCTGTATGTAGAACAATCCTGACATCTTCAGGCCCAAGACTTCGAGGCTCTACACTACCTTAAAATGTAGTAAATGTAGGCACTCAGGACAACTTCTAGAATAACTCTACACACAGGCTGATCTTTTCGGCTCTCTCTTGATTACTGTCTTGTTTGGTTGTTTTCTCCTTGCTGATTGTATGTTCTTGTTGGGTCATGTTCTCGTTGGGTCATGTTCTTGTTGGGTCATGTTCTTGTTGGGTCATGTTCTTGTTGGGTCATGTTCTTGCCGGGTCACATTCTTGTCAAGTTATGTTACGTTGTTGAGTTCTTGCTGAGCAATTGTCTTCTGTCTCTTGTACACTTGTGTGTGGGTGTGAGTGTGAGTGTGAGTGTGTGTGTGAGTGTGAGTGTGAGTGTGTGTGTGAGTGTGTGTGTGAGTGTGAGTGTGAGTGTGAGTGTGTGAGTGTGAGTGTGAGTGTGAGTGTGAGTGTGAGTGTGAGTGTGAGTGTGAGTGTGCCAGAGCAGGCAAGTCAGTCAGTGAGCAAGTGAGTGAATGAATGAATGAATGAATGAATGAATGAATGAATGAATGAATGACCTCCTTCTTGCACATAGACACATCCATCAGTTGTACAGTTCTCCCACAGATCACATTTGGCTCGGCTCAGTGCAATAAATCTCAGAAATCAGTGTCTAGTGTATCACACGTCTGCGTACACATCCATCATACATGATATCAATATTCTGCAGATATCTTATGTATGTATTCATATTTTCTTGAAACACATATGTTGAATCTTTATATTTCAAAAGTTTATGTTATGAATGTCGGCGTCTGTGGCTCAGGTGTTGTGAATGATCTTCCTAATGCTGTAGTGCCAGGTTTGATCTCAGCTGCAGATGATTTGTCTTGCGTTGGTTTCGACAGCAGTACCAAAAGCTGATCGTTCAGAAAGCAATGGCAAACCTCTGAATGTAAAATGTGCCTAGAAAAACTAAAATATGCTGGGGTTGGTTATGCAACGTCCTGCAATGGATACGCAACTAATTATATTTTGAATGTTTCCTTATATTTCCTTCAGCTTCCTTCAAGGGACATGACCCAGAAAATTCTGGCTTAGCCCCTTATGATGTGGAAGGTGTAAGTATTATCTCCCTTATTGTTACATGCACGTCTTATCTAATTAGACTGACTAAACATCCGGTTTTCACTGGAATGGTCTTGTTTTTGTGGGTGTGTCCCAGCTGTCCCGTCAGTATTCCAGATCATCAATTGTTCCATTTTAAACCAATCTAGGCTAAAGCTCCAGAATTGTTTGTTCTGTACAATTCATTAGTGGAGGTAGATAGGTAGTTGTGTTCTGTACACTACATTAGTGGAGGTAGGTAGGTAGTCGTGTTCTGTATACTACATTGTTCTAGGTAGTTGTGTTCTGTACTACATTAGTGGAGGTAGGTAGGTAGTTGTGTTCTGTACACTGTAGTTGTGTTCTGTATACTACATTAGTGGAGGTAGGTAGGTAGTTGTGTTCTGTACACTACATTAGTGGAGGTAGGTAGGTAGTTGTGTTCTGTACACTACATTAGTGGAGGTAGGTAGGTAGGTAGTTGTGTTCTGTAGTACTGTACATTAGTGGAGGTAGGTAGGTAGTTGTGTTCTGTACACTACATTAGTGGAGGTAGGTAGGTAGTTGTGTTCTGTACACTACATTAGTGGAGGTAGGTAGGTAGTGTGTGTTCTGTACACTACATAGTGGAGGTAGGTAGGTAGTTGTGTTCTGTACACTACATTAGGTAGGTAGTAGTGTGTGTTGTTCTGTAGGTAGGTACTACACTACATTAGTGGAGGTAGGTAGGTAGTCGTGTTCTGTACACTACATTAGTGGAGGTAGGTAGGTAGTTGTGTTCTGTACACTACATTAGTGGAGGTAGGTAGGTAGTCGTGTTCTGTACACTACATTAGTGGAGGTAGGTAGGTAGTTGTGTTCTGTTCTGTACACTACATTAGTGGAGGTAGGTAGGTAGTTGTGTTCTGTACACTACATTAGTGGAGGTAGGTAGGTAGTTGTGTTCTGTACACTACATTAGTGGAGGTAGGTA